CTAACCTGTTGGCTCCAGTCACCCTCAGGGCACACAAGGCCTGCAGCAGCTGGTCTCTGCTGACTCTTCATGCCTTTCCCTGTGTCGCCCTTTACTTGTGTCCCTAACTGCCGAGCTCGCACACGAGGCTGTTTCTCGCTCGTCACTGTATTTATGTTGCTCCCTCTGCCTCGGATTTTCTCCACCATCTTCCCTCACCGGTTCCCTTCTGCTTGACCTTAAGACTGAACCAGGCCTCATTTACCTGCACCCTGACCAACCCTGTTCCCAGGCTGGATCAGGTGTCACTCATTACACCCCAGGCATACCTTTGTCATTAGACGACTGTGTTGTTTCTTCAGCTGGACTGTCACCCCTGTTCCCAGCAGAGGTCTAGCAGGCCCATGATGAATGTTTGTGGAATGAATGAATGGCTTCCTCACTTGACTGTGAGCTCCTTGAGAGCAGGACTGGCTACACAGTTCCTGAGTACTTCATTAAAATACATGGCATTGAAATGCACAGGAGGGATACTTAACCAAACCTGGGAAACCAGAGACTTCCCAGAGGTGATAAGAAGTTATCTAGGAAGAAGGAATGGGGAAATGTGAAGATAGTACAGGCAAGAACAACGAAAGCGGAGGGAGACATCACTGCTAGTCATGTGGTTGGAACTCAAGGTCCAGGAGGGACAATGGGTACAGAGAGTGGTCTTTCACCCCTGGGTTCACTGATTGATTCAGTAAATACTCATTGATACCTGCAGAGTGCCTGGCCCTGGGCTGAACCCGAAAGGTAGGAAATGAACCAGACAACCCTTACTCTCGAGTTTAGGGTACTTTTGGACTAGTGGGAGCCTGAGGGGCTTAAAAATGGATGGCTGGGTGGCCTGCTCAGATATATATTCTAGAATGCTTCTCAAGTTATCCATGGTAAAGGATATTTAAAAAAAGATTAGACAAAATACAAGTCCGCGTTTCTTTCTGTCAGCTTCAGCAGTGTGTGATTACAGTAAAATTGTTACAAAGGTTTCTAAGTGCCTACTCTGTTTTCTTACCATACACCAGGGATAACAGTGTGCAGACAGCACTGGCCTGTAGGCTGTCCTTTGAGTAGCACTGTTCAGAGATCCATCTTGGCTGCAGATGGAGAATTGCTTGGGGGAGGACTGAATGGAGGCAGAGAGATCATGGGAGGGCTGTTTCTCTGATCCAGGAAAATGGTAGTGGTGATCTCGACTGGGATGTCGCAGTGGATAGAGTTTCCAGAGGATGGAGAACGCAGAGGCAGGCGGCCCGGGCCTCTGATCAAGCAGTTTCTTCCCTCACTCTGTGTGTGCGGAGGGTGTGGGGGTGAGGGGAAGTCAAGGGTAAAGGTAGGAATTAAGATGCCTCCCCGGTTTCTGGCTTGGGCACCTGGGTTGAGTGATGGGACTGTGACTGACATCTGGACTGGAGGAGATAGAAGTTTGAGGGAGGGTGATGTGCTCAGTACTGAACGTACTAAGTTTTTATTTTTTTAAATTGAGGTGCAATTGACATAACTGTTAGTTTAAGGCGTACAACGTAATGATTCAATATTTGTATATACTGCAAAATGATCATCACAGTGAGTCTTGTTAATATCGGTCACTTGAACATATTAAGGTGTATGTGGAACCTCCACAGATGTTCAAGAGGCAGCTGGAATTAAGGGTCTTGAGAGCAGGTTCAGAGCCCTGTGGTTTTGATAGAGAAACTTCCCTGGTCCAACCTGGCATTAACTTTTCATGGGGTCTCTGACTGGCAGACTCAGCTGGTGGTGGTGCTGCTTGACCCTGAGGGAGGTCTAGGGGGACCCGCCTGGGCTGGGGTGCATATGTTGGAAGTAGGATTCAGGTGCCTTTTCTACAGAGCTGTGACCTTAGCCAGCTCTGGGGGAGCTGCAAGCCTCACTGCCACCACTGGATGGCAGGCGTGCTTCAGACAAGTGTCCATGGACTAGAGGAGTCGGCCTTTTCCCAGTATTTAGCCATCTGCCCCCTCCATATTTGACCTTTGGCCTGCACAGAAGTGCTTACCTGTGGGCCTGTCACCTTAACGACGGGGGCAGGAGCATGTGTGCGGTTACCGGGGCTATGGAGCCGAAGGCGTGGTGAAGCGGCTCCTGGAGTGAACGCAGAGGCAGGCTGCCCGGGCCTCTGATCAAGCAGTTCCTTCCCTCACTCTGGGAGTACCATCTCCAGGCTGCCTGTGCAAGGCCCAGGCAGAGGATTTGCTTTTGTCTAGCCCAGGGATTGGCAATAAACAAGAGGGGCTGTGTTCAGAGCAGACTGGAGCCCACTGGACATGACACCACTCTGCCCCTCTGTGCCAGTAGACGGTGCAGGTGCCCGTGTACTCAGAGCAGGAGTACCAGCTCTATCTTCATGACGACGCTTGGACTAAAGCAGAAACTGACCACCTCTTCGATCTCAGCCGCCGCTTTGATCTTCGTTTTGTAGTTATCCATGACCGGTATGACCACCAGCAGTTCAAGGTGAGCTGGTGTTCGTTGGCATGTGTGCCTAACCCCAGGCCTAGCAGGCCCACTGCTCTCAGGCCAGCCCTTGCACATGCCTCTGAGTGTCCCCCCGCCCAGCCCATCCCCCATGTCTTTATCCTCAGAAGCGTTCCGTGGAGGACTTGAAGGAACGGTACTACCACATCTGTGCTAAGCTTGCCAATGTGCGGGCCGTGCCAGGCACAGACCTTAAGATACCAGTATTTGATGCTGGGCATGAGCGACGGCGGAAGGAACAGCTGGAGCGCCTCTATAACCGGACCCCAGAGCAGGTTAGCTCTGAACCCCCAAACTCTCCTCCATGCCTCCAAATCCAATGCTTCCATCCTCAATACCCTCAATTCTCTTCCCCAAGTCCTCCTGCCTCCCACTGGTTGGTACCTGTGTGCGCCCCATCCCAGTCCTATCCCTCACTAGCCACCCTCCCTGCTCTGAGAGTCCTTCACATCCTCATGATCTCTTCTCAGATTCCCCCACAGACAGCCCAGCACCCCTTCATCTCCGTCTACCCCCCCACCCCCCATGGACCTGCACGTGTCTTAGCATCTCTCACCTTCCCAGGTGGCAGAGGAGGAGTACTTGCTACAGGAGCTGCGCAAGATCGAGGCCCGGAAGAAGGAGCGGGAGAAGCGCAGTCAGGACCTGCAGAAGCTGATAACGGCGGCCGACACCACTGCAGAGCAACGGCGCACTGAACGCAAGGCCCCCAAGAAGAAGCTACCCCAGAAAAAGGAGGCTGAGAAGCCGGTGTGGAGACCAAATCAGCCCAGCTCAGGGTGGAGGGGTCGCCTGGCACAGGGGACCTAGTGGGAGGCTCTGAGAGCACCCAGAGCTGGCAGGTGCTGGGACTAACTAGGTCCACTCCCCGTGACGCTTCCTAACTCCTCCTCCCCCAGGCTGTTCCTGAGACTGCAGGCATCAAGTTTCCAGACTTCAAGTCTGCAGGTGTCACGCTGAGGAGCCAGCGGGTATGTGTGTCACTTCCTTCAATGTGTTTGGACCCTGGGCTAGAGGAGGAGAGGGTGTGCCATGTGCTGCAGGTAGAGGGGGCCTCGGGGATGTGGCCAGGCTGAGGTCAGAGCTTCCACTTGCTGGCTATTTCCTTTTCTGACCCAGCGCTGCCTCCAGGGGTTAACTTCTCTTCCACTCCCCCACTGCCGCTAGTCCCCTTCATTCTAAGGTGCTTGTGGGGGAGAGGGCTGAGCTGCTGGGTCATTGCAGATGAAGCTGCCAAGCTCTGTGGGGCAGAAGAAGATCAAGGCCTTGGAACAGATGCTGTTGGAGCTGGGTGTGGGTGAGTGTGGAGGCTGGGCCCCTCAGGACGGACCCTCCCGAGGCCGTGGATAAAGGCAGGGGGAGGGTGGTTCCTGTTGCCAGCCTTCCTGCACACCCTGGCTCTGCCCTGTGCCTTCCACCCACCACCTGCAGAACTGAGCCCCACACCCACGGAGGAGTTGGTGCACATGTTCAATGAGCTGCGGAGTGACCTGGTGCTGCTCTACGAGCTCAAGCAGGCCTGTGCCAACTGCGAGTATGAGCTGCAGATGCTGCGGCACCGTCACGAGGCGCTGGCCCGGGCTGGCGTGCTGGGAGCCCCTGCCACACCAGCATCAGGCCCGGCCCCGGCCTCTGCTGAGTCAGCGGTACCTGAATCTGGTCTCGCCCCTGACCTCACCAAGGACACCATCATTGATGTGGTGGGTGCACCTCTCACACCCAATTCGGTAAGAGCCTGGACAAGCTGGAAGAGTGTGAACTGGCCCTGCATGTGAGCATGCTCACGTGTGCACGGGCTTGCTCCCTCTAGTGCCTGCAATGGGAATTGTCACTCTGAGGGGTGGAGACTCAGGGCGGGAGTGGGTGGGTGGCCAGTGTGAGACACAGGCACCAAGCCTGAATCAGGCCTCAGGGGCTGGCCATAGATCTCATCATCTTCTATGTATCCTCAGAGGAAGCGACGGGAATCGGCCTCCAGCTCCTCTTCTGTGAAGAAAGCCAAGAAGCCATGAGGGACCACACCGGGTGTGGATGCTGCTGCTGTGTAAATAGAGCTGCTGAGTGGACTGGGCTGCTTCTGTTTCTTTCCCACCATTTCTGCTGCCCCTGGCTGGGAGGGTGGGCAGGAGGGAGTCGTCACACCTACTTTATGGGTGGCATTGGGGCCTACTGGCATGGAGGCCCTTAGCAGCCCTCTGCCCATGTTGCCCAAACACCTGTGCCTAGGAACACCTGCGTTCTACATTCAAGGTGGCTCACATGCAGCCATGGCCTCAGATACCAGTAGCTTCAAGCAGCCTCATGCTCTCAGTGGCTGTGGCCCTGTGCATATTCATTGGAGGGGGCGGGGGTGGCTCAGAGGTACGTCAGTGACAACTAGCTGCACTGGTGGCCTTGAGCACAGAGCAGCCTGGAACACACTAGCTCCTCCCCTTCCTGACAGCATCAGGCACAGCATGGCCGGTGCACACATTACCCAGGGCCTCATTTCCCCGACTTTATTCAGTGGCACGTTCACAGCGGGGATTGGGTGGACATAAGATATGTCCTGGAGCCCTGGGGGCACCACACACCATGCACTACAGATGGGAGGGGGCACAGGGGGCTTGGTGGCCCCAGCAGAAGCCTGTGTACCAGGGAGAGGCAGTAAGTGCCTGGGTCCCCCTAGCCCAGGCCCATAATGGGAGGGGCTAATACTGGGCTGAGGTTGTGGGATGGGGATGGGAGGCCACAAAGTATCTGCTCCAGAGGGACCAAGTGGCCAAGCTCTTACCCAGGGCACAAGCCCGCAGGGCAGGCTGGGGACACTCGACGTAGAGCTGTGCCACTCTCCCTTTTCCCCTCTGGTGAGGGAGAGGAGGATTCTGGGTTGGGCCAAGCAGCTACCCTGTATTGCCCCATCCTGTTCTCGGCCAATCAGAACGGCTTCGAGGTCTGCTTGAAGATGAAGCCTCGATATGCAAGTGTCTTCATGATGTTGGCAATGTTCTTGCAGTCATCTAAAACGAGAAAGAAAAGACATGTAGATAGACCCCAGATCCTTCCCTTCCCTGTCCATAGGTGCTCTTACATGGGTGGGGGTGGGAAGCAGGGTCAGGAGCCAGACTTTAAACCAGGGGGTCCCACTCCCTTGTGGCAGCACCTCCAGCTTTAGGTCGGGCTGGATGCTGGCCGGGCAGGAAGCCTGGTCTCAATGTTTCTCAGTCCCATAATTCATGCTGGAAATTGGCCGGCGTGTCCCGCCCCGGCCCCAGTGGTGATGTATGGGCGCCGTCGCAGTAAGAAAAAGGCAGAGTAAATGTGTAATTTCTCCCTTGACGGCCCCCGGCCGCTGGGCGATCCTTCTTGTTGCCGCCGCGTGGGGACGGCCTGTCCGCCACACTCCGTCTTCCCGCCACCCGCCTTGATGTCTCCATTTCATTACTGTGCGGCCATTCATCACGCCCACGGCCAGGGTGACTTTGCCGCCACTTTCGTGTGTGGAAGATGTGGCCCAGGCCATAATCACTGGTGACAAGGCACAAGCCTCGGCACTTCTGGGCCAGGGCCCTGGGAGACACCTGCCCTGGGCCCCCGGCTCAGGTGCTCAAACAGCAACCTGCCTGGAGCCTGCTGCTGTGCAGTCCCAGACCAGTGGAGGGGGTCCGGGTTCGTGGTTCCCTAACACCCTGGCCATTAACCTTCTATTGGACACACCTGAGCCCAAGCCCTGCCTCTCCTACCCCAGTAGGCTCAAAGCTGGTGCTGGGAGGGCTGTGGCTCAGGTTAAATGTCTGTGTCTGCCAGACCCTGTCGGGCAATTTCACCAGTATTGTTCCCCATACTCAGAGCTGTCCCAGAACCCTGGTGGTCACAGGAACAGGTATTCCGGGGCTTTAGTATCATGGACATGGGTCAGGATGTGTTCTGTCACCACCAGCAGGAGGTACAACTTCCCAGAGCTTGTCCCACTATAGTAAGCCCAGGACAGAAATGGCCCAAGGGCCTGGGTTTTTCTTTTCCACTGCCCAGAGCAGCCAACAACTCCTGATCCCTTCGCCAGCTTCTCCCACCCCTCTCCCACCTCCCATAGACGTTCCGAGCCCATAATCAGGGCTCAGCTGCCACCAGCCCTGATGGGATCGATGGTTGTGATGGCAGAAGTATTGCACATTGATGTCATAATCAGGTATGGGAGGTGGTAAGGTCAAGGTGGGGTCAGGAGGCTCCACAGCTGCCAAGGACCAACCCCTTCCACAGTCCCTCAACCTGCCCTTGCCAGGACCTTAGACTAGGAAAGGGGACCCACCAGAGCTAAAATGGTTGTGAGAAGTCTCTGGTCAGGCCAGGGCCAGTATCATTAGCCAGTCACCAGCTCTGCAGCCCCTGCTTAGACCAGACTGGGCCGTCTTGCAGAGCTCACCATGAAAGTATTGGTGGTACATGTGAGCATGGAGAGAGGTGACCGAGGGCTTAGTCACAGGGACGCCTTGTTCCTCCAGAGACTCAAGAAGCTACAAGGGCTGGTCTGAAGCAGAAGAGGGAAGACGGATGGGTGGGTAGTGGCGGCCATGGCAACTCCAGACGTGACCCATCCCCGTGGTTTATGGGCCGGACACACACCCCGCTCATCGGAGGCCCTGTCATTTGTCTCCCTTAGTGTGTATGCCTGGGCAGTGGGGGTGGAGCGTGGAGGGAGGGGGTTGTGACAGGAGGAGGTAGGCAGTTGAAAGGCAGGGGAATGGGGCAGGAAGGGCGGTGTAGGAGGGGCAGGAGGGACCCTGGGAGGGGGGAGGGTTTATGATAGGGCCTAGGGCTGTGATCACGCCATCAGAGGAACTCTGATTTGGTGATTTTCTTCCTAAAGAAGTCTGGTCTTGTCCGGGCACCTCCAATCCTTCTGTCTCCTGTACTCTGGGGACCATAGCCGCTCTGCATATTAAGAATAAGTCCCCTCGTTATCTGCAATTACCCAGCGGCCACACACCTCATTTCTTTCAGCAGAAAAGAAAATTAGTTTTCTATTGACTTCATTTGGCTCCTCCCTCAGTGCTGGACAGATCGCTCGATCTGCCTCCCCTGGCCCAAGTGGAAGTGCCCGGCCCCTGCCCCCAAGCCACTGGCCGTCCAGAGGGCAAGCATTGACCTCCTACCTGTGCGTGGCCCTGAGCTGGGAGAAGACCCCTGTGCCCCAGCTTCTGCCCTTGACCTCTTCTGACTACACACGAGACGGCTTCATTCACACGAGGAACGTCAGCTCCCCCGAGGATCGCCGTCTGCAGCCTGGACCTCCCTCCTGAGCTCAGACCACAGGCCCAAGTGCTCTGGAACATCTCCTTCTAGATCTCCATACAACCTCAAAACGTCCAGTAATAAACTGGTTCCCTCCCCCGTGTTCTCCATCCCAGTGAAAGGCACCCCCAAACGCCCAAACAAGGAATCTGAGTCAGGCCTGACACCTGGCCTTCTCCCTCACTCCCCAAATCTAATCAAGTGTGAACTGTAGACTCTTATTTTCTGTCTAATCACCTACTTCCTGTCAATCTGGCAGTCACTGCCTTGGCCGGCACACCATTCCTTGCTTTTACAGCAGTAACTTGTCCTCTTTCCCCCTCAAATTCATTCTCTTGTTGCCAAAGGGATCTTTCTTACACAAACCTGGTCACCTCCTTTCCTCTTTGAAGTCCTAACCTCTATCTTCCCATGTCAAGGAACCACTTACTGTTTTCTGAAAATGACAAAGTAGGTTCTGGAGTTAGGCAGACCTGAAGTCTGAACTCTGCCCACTGGCGACAGCCCTGCTTGGTTTCTCTGAGCCTCAGGTGACAGTGGACGCGCCTTCAGGGTTATGAGGAGTAACAGGTGATGCACCGGGTCTCTGTACGTGCCTTCTGTTTGGAATGCCTCTTCTTGAAGGGAAGACAGGGATGCTAGCTTTCTGGATGACCCAATGGCGAGAAAGTGTATAATGGACAATCCATGGCATGGATGACGCGGGCTGGCACACCTGATGAAACCCACCATCCCTCACTCCACCCACTTGGACTGACTACCGTCCTGTTTAATGGGGATTGTGGAGTCTCGTTGTGGCGAGTGGTCTATGACATGAAGAAAGAGGAGGCCGCATGGGGAGGCACTTGCTTCAGTTCCCCCAGAGTCAGTGGCACAGCACTTACGGGCTTCCAGCACAGACTCGCTCTCCGCCCTGAAAGCCTTCATAAAAGTCCACGCAACCTACTTACTGACCAGTGTAAACAGTCACTGGCACGGCTAGAAAATGAGGGAACTGGGCAGAAGCACAGAGACAGATCTGGGTCTTTTAACAGATCAGAGAGACAGCAGCAGGGAGTCCTCTGTTTGAGGTCCCGGGGCCACCTGGGGCAGCAGCCCCACCTTCGGGCACCTCTCACTGCGCTAATGAGGTGAGCCTGGAGCTGTTATGGGGGGGGTGGGGTGGCACGAAGAGCTGGGTCACAGCCTTGTGCTCGCATGGAAGGCCTCCAAGAACAGGTCTTCCTCACCTCCAAGTTCTAGAAGACTAACCTGTTCTATGTTCCTGCAGGGTCATCAACTTGTGGAAAAAAAGACCCTCTTCTCTTCTTTTTATGGGCATTCATATTCTTAATGTTGAAGATATTTTTTTAAAATATATCTTATTGATTTTTTACGGAGAGGAAGGGGGACGGATAGAGAGTTAGAAACATGGATGAGAGAGAAACATCGATCAGCTGCCTCCTGCACACCCCCTACTGGGGATGTGCCTGCAACCAAGGTACATGCCCTTGACTGGAATCGAACCTGGGACTTTTCAGTCCGCAGGCCAACGCTCTATCCACTGAGCCAAACCAGTCAGGGCTGAAAATATTTTTATATTGCCAAGACCACAATGGGAGGGGTACGGCAGCATAAATCCCCCAGACAGGTGAGTAGAGCTAGCACCTAACAAAGGATAACTTGTTGGCTGGCCCAAGGATAGCCCTGTCTCTGCTGGGCAAAGGAGCTGCTAGTGGAGGATAGCTCTGGCCATCAGGACACCCAGTGAGAGCTCACCGGGCTGACGTGGTTAGCTGCACTTGTTTGGGAACTGAACAGCAGAGGACAGGAAGCAGGACCTGGGCCAGGCTACCCCCAGGAGGGAAGGGGGCTAAGGAATGTCTTGGAGGTCATTCATTTGTGTGCTCATTAATTCAGCAAACACACTGACACCTTCTGTGTGCTGGGTGCACACGGGCCATGGTGGCCAGAGGGCTGCGCAGAGTGTAGCTCCCTGTCCTCGAAGAGCTCAGAGACAGACCTGTAGGTGGTGCAGTTTGAACAGTGCTATGAGAGAAGGAGGCACAGAAAAGGGACCTCATTCGGTCTGAGGAACAGGAAAGGGTTCCAGGGAGGACAAAGTTAAGCAGAGGTCTGAGGGGCATGTGGGCGGGGCTCGCCAGCATGTTGGGGTTGAAGCTGGGGAGGTGTCCTTGCATAGTGAACAGCATAGGCACATTCTGGAGGGGAAATGTGAAGTTTAGCAAGTGGTGGTGGTGGGGTGATGAAGAATAGGAGGCAGGGGAGTGGCAAGAGATGAAGCTAGTGAGGCCAGCAGGGACTGGCTAGAGAAAACTGATGATAGTCTCAAATGAGAAGCTAAGAAACTTAAGGTTTTATTATTCTGGGAATGACAGGGAGACACTAACATGTCTAAGGAGAAGCAGGAAAGGACCAAATCTATGTTTCAGAATGATCATTTGAGGATGGAGGGACTAACCCTCAAGGCAGAGACACCAATTAGCAGATTGTACTATGGCCCAGGCCAGAAGTGGAGGCCAGAACTAGGCCAGTGGCGGCAGAGGTGGAGGTCTACTGGTGATCTGGAGAAGTGGATGGAGGAAAGAGATTTTCAGGAAATTGGATGAGCAAGCCTTAGCAGGGGATGAGCAATCCCCTGAGGGGACTGGCAGGCTAGAGGGAGGAGTCCAGGATCTTAGTGCCACTCACTGAGATAAGGCAAACCAAGAGAGGGTGCTGGTTGGGG